CCATCCGTGAACTGGACGTGGGGCACGGCGACATGAGGGTTTCTGGGCGCACGAGGGCAGCCGCGAAGGACCAAAGGGGGGGGCGGGCGTCGTCAATGCCGCCCCTCTCTGCCAGTGAACAATCGAGAGCTGGACTTGGGACGAGAGACGCGGGTGCCAGGGAGGTTGAGGGGTCGGCGGGTGCGTTTCCAGGATGGGGGGGCCGAGCGGTCGACGTCACCTGGCGGGAGCGGCGACGCTCTCGCCCACCGCTTCGGTCTTGTTTCCCTGCAGGACAAGGCAACGCTCCTGTCGACTCTAACCACTCGCAGCATCGTCGATGGGGGGAGGAAGGAGATCCCGAGTTCAGCCGGAGGACGTGATGGAGCGGAGCCGGGGGGGCGAGAGCGGGAGGGCACGAAAACAGAAGGACTGCGTGAAGAAGTCCCATTTGCGTGCGCCACCTTGCTTGCCTCCCGCGAGGACATTGATCGCGCGATGATGGATTTAGATCCCCCGGAAGTGGCACCGGACTTGCCACAGTGCTACGCGAGCGACTTGCGTGTGCCCGAAACGTATAGGGAGGCTGTGTCCTCTCAACATGCGGACTCGTGGATACACTCTGTAGAGAAGGAGTTCAGAGGTCTTATGGAGGCTGGTACCTTTGAAGAAGTAATGTAGCAACCAGAAAGTGTCATCAAGGCGAAGTGGGTGTTTGATTGGAAGTCTGACGAGTATGGATGGCCAACCAATGTGAAATCACGGCTTGTAGCGAGAGGAGATATGCAGAGAGTACATGTCGATTGCGGAGAGACGTATGCACCGACTGTAGCGGTTTCTAGCGTTCGCTTGTTGGCAGCGATGGCGTGTGAGCAAAATCTTTCTCTCCGTCATTTTGACATCAAGCAAGCATTTGTCCAGTCGGATTTGGATGAGGATGTTTTCATGCGTCTGCCAGAGGGGTGTGGTAGATTGTCAGGCATGATCGTGAAGTTGAACAAGAGTCTGTATGGCCTCAAGCAGGCATCAAGGCAGTGGCATTCACACTTGGCGAAGTGTTTGATTTGTTTGGGTATTATTCAGTGCATGGCGGATACGTGTGTGTTTCGGTTGATCGGGGAGGGAAGAGTGGTAGTGACTCTGGTGGTACATGTAGATGATATATTTTCGATAGGAGAGGAGGAGAGGTGTGACCAGTTTGGCAGAGACCTCAGGACTATGGTACCTGTGAAGAATCTTGGGGACTTGAGATGGTACCCTGGATGTTTTTATGAGAGAGATTGGGATGCAGGGACTTTGAAGATCTCGCAGCAGACGTACGCTGAAGAGTTGGGGATGGAGTTTGGGGTAGAGTACGGGAAGGAAATTCCTCTTCCTGTAGGGTTGAAGCTTTCAGAGTTTGACCAGGATGAGGAAGTGGTATCATGGCCTTTTCGTGAGCTGATAGGATCATTGATGTGGCTGGCAACGCAAACGAGGCCAGATATCGCGAATGCAGTAAGAGCGGTAGCACGGTACTGGGCCTCTCCCAAAGAAATTCATTGGAGAACAGGGCTTGGTATTTTAGGGTATGTGGTACGGACTAGTGACTTGGGTATTACATTCAGGAGGGGTAGTGTAGCAGGGTTGAGCATGGAGGTGCTTGCAGACGCAGACTATGCAAGTAAGGCTGCCGATAGGAGGTCTGTGTCAGGGGGATTGGTGATGTGTGGGGGGGGATGTATTCCTTGGTTTTCAAGGACCCAGAAGTGCGTCACGTTGAGCACGACAGAGGCGGAGTATGTCTCTTTTGCGGATGTGATGAAGGAAGTGTTGTTTCTGAGGCAGGTGTGGCGTTTCATGTTACCAGAAGCAGGCATGCCGTGTATTCCGGTGTTCGAGGATAACCCGGGGGCTATTCAGTTGGCGCAAAACCCGATAAGCAACAGTAACTCGAAGCACATTGACGTAAGGCACCACTTTATCAGGGAACTGGTGGACATGAAGGAGATATCGATTTTTCACGTGGAATCGGCGTATCAACATGCTGACTTTCTCACGAAAGCACTTCACGCGGGAGATTTTGAGTTTCATCGTAACTACGTGATGAGTATGGATTAGTATATTGGTGTTTGGATTTATTTTGTGTGTGATCAAACTACTGGGGTGGCAACATTTTACATTTTTGCCTATGGTATTTCTCAATTGATGATGTTCTAGGCTGGGGGACAACTAGTTCACTGAAGTTCGAAGAAGTATAACTGGTATGATCGGGGATGGTTATTGATGTCTAGCCAGTGAGGCTATTGTTCTGGAGTTGAATTGAGTTTCTGATTTTATATTGATTTTCTTGTGTTTTGGAGCTATTTAGGATCGAAAAAGACATGACATGGTCACAAGCAGGGGGGCTGATAGATATACTTATAGCAATGCCAAGTGGTTGTAGGATTGTGTGGTGCGTGGAATGTATTTCCAGGGTGTGCAAGGTACCCCTATTGTATACTTCGTCGCCCCCTCATGGTGGTGCGTGCACGCGTGCGTTCAGTTCGTGTGAGTTCATGTGAGTTCATGTGAGTTCATGTGAAGGAGAAGTTTATGCAACAAACCCTACACGTCTTTCCTCCTTGGCGCGAGCTCGCCGAGTTGCCGACACCCTATTCAACACACGTCTTGCGACAAGCTACCCCCAGTTCGGATCATCCTAACAGGGGCAGAGGCTGGATTCGAAGGGCTTTGGGCCTCGGACGCAGGATCAACGATGTTGACCCTAGGTGGTGATGTGGGGGCCGGAGAATCGGGTGCAAGCGAAAGCGATGATGCCGCCTTAAGAGTTTCCACCGGGACGCGCAACAGCGGCGCTGCAGACACTCCAATAACGTCTCCCGGCTCCAATTCAGCACAACCTGCAAGGGGAATTTTTTGGAGTCCATGGGAAACGAAAGCATCGGGGGACGAAAGCGTTCCTACCTCTGGTCGAAACGATACGGGGTACTCGCCACTCAACGCCGGCAGGCCAGAAGAGCGGACGAGGTTCACCTCAACAAGTGCAGGCTCCGGCCCCAAGGAAATTCCCGAAGTCCCTTCATATTTGAGGTGAAAAGAGGACGCAGGGGCGTCGTCGTGTGTTGCGTAGACGCAGGCGCCAGCTGTAAAACGCGGAGA